TTCTGTGATTCTGTGATTCTGTGAAAAGATGCTTTACTGCAAAGAACGTAGACAAAGCCCACAATCTGCAGTTGTTACCCAGGCAATCCCTTTTGCCAAGATCAAAAGTTCCCAACACTTACTAGTTCAAGGACAACACCGCTTTGAGTGTCTGTTAGTTTTAATTCCTCTTCACCTCACAACGAGCAGTACTAGACAGTCTCCTAACCAACAGACTGCCCAGAAACAATCCAAGTGGTGTCTGTCTTACTGGTGAAACACCTCCGAATTCATTGCCATTGCACAGAGGGAGATGCAGTAAGGGAGGAAACGTTTCTTTACCATCAGGACTGCAGGGTCAACGTGCAATGTCTACAACCTGCATGCTTTGGACAGCATTTAAAGGCAACGGTTACAGGTCTTTGTCCAAGCTGAGAGCTGTGAGCCCCAGCAGGAACAGAGGCCAGTTTAGCATCTCTGATTAGGTCTAAGTTTGTATCATCTCTGCCCTCTCTTTCTTCAGGAATTACCATGCTGGCTTTCTCTCTGAGGAACCACAAAGAAACAAACACTGAAAAGTGCAATTATATGAGAAAAAGTAGATAAAAATGGTTTAGTAACCTTCAGTCAGATGTAAAATTCAATAAAGTTTCATAGTAATTGCAAACCTGATCAGAAAGGCAATCGACTCGGTTTTCCAGCTTGCTGGGCTAGGAGCTGTATTTTTATTTTCAATTGTTAGCACTTTTTAGCATCGGATTATTTTACTTACAGAACTTTTCGGGGCATATGAAAGAAAGGACCTAATGAGTGGTAGCGGCAGTGTAACCTGGTGAGAAGACACCATCAGTAAAAACACTGTTCTATGCAGCCTAAGAAAACAATGGCTTTGTTATGCCCCACAATTACTTAAGACATGAAAGCCTTAGAAATACCTTGCTAGAAATGTTACCTGCAGACACATTTACAGAAATGAAATTCATGGAGAATTAGGGAAAAATACAAAGTAGTGCTGTTTAGCCTTTGAAATTCAATATTAAAAACCCTAAAATTAAAAACAAATAAAAAATCAAGTGCTTTGAAAAGGAAGGGTTTGACTTGTAATTCATTCTCAGTGGGAAGTTTCTCTTAACAGCTGAAAAACAAGTGAATTAAAAATTTATTTAAAGCCTTCAGACAGTTACGAACTTCACTCTGTTGAAAATGGAAGCACGTAAGGGAGTCACACAAAACACTGATAATAAAGGCAGCAAAGTAATTTTCTTACCGAATGAGTTTTTCGAAGGCCTCCTTCTCTTTCCTGAGAGCTGTGAGGTAGCGCTGTTCTTCTGTAGAGCTCCCATATACAAGGAAATAAACCCTGTGGGTTTGGAGGAGGGGATAAAAGAAACACAAATCACAAAAACTCATATTAACTTAAAAATGCCCACAACTCATGTTTAAGATCAGTAGCAGCACTTGCCTGACAAGTTAGTATTTGCCTTAAAAAAGGCAAGTGAAAACCCACTATCTTTTTCTGTAAAGATGTTCCAAAATCAGCAACAAAAATTCCTGCACCCGTGCTCCCTCTCTCCCCGGGGCAGACTGGCTCACTGGATTCCAGCAAGGCCTCGGGTTGCAGCCAGCCATTCAATAAAGACACAGACCAAGCGTAATGGGAAGCATCACGTCTTTCTGATCTTCCCAGCAGCACACATACAACAAACTAAACCAATCTGCAACCATCCCGAGTTAGGTAAAAACACCACCTAAGACTTTAAAATCATGGATCTGCACAAGGAAATGGTAGGGTTTACAAAGGACAAGCTGTCATTTATCTCGCAGGAACACAACAACAAATCAAGTTTTATTCTGCAAATGGGTTTTTATATGGAATATATAAGAATTAATATTTACCTTAAGGAATTAATTGCCTATAGCTTTTCAGTATAGTCATTTTTTCCAGTATATTTTTAATTGAGAGAACTTTTGGCAGACTGATAGGATTTTATTCCTATTACATTTGTTTTCACATGGTGCATCTCCCAACACCTACTTGCATGACTGCATCTAATTTTCCTGAAGTGTGGGAATGTGATGCAGGAGGTGGATACAGCACATGCCGATTAGGCGGTTAAAAATAAATGGTACAAATAACCCAGTGATCATCCTCGTGCAATACACGTTGAGTTCTTTCATTTGTATCTGCACTGCCGAGCCCTCACCTGGATACCAGGCAGAGACACCAAGTACCACCAAACTGATTTCCATTTTCAGTTACAACTGCTCCGTTACATTTATGCAAATAACTTTCATGAGGTGATTAAAGTATTATAATTCAAAAGGTCATAATTTTATATGCCAGTAAGTTGTGTTTCAACTGCAGTAAGTAAAGTGTGTTTATTCTGAGACTTCAGAAACTGCCGTAAGTTATTTTCAGAGAGGTACAAGTATAACCAGTTTACTGCATTCAAGAAATGCTGTTATCAGGCAGCCACATAAATGAAAGATAATGCAAAACCTCATAGTGTATTAAATTTTAAGTCTTCTGTATTCTTAATTAGTCCATAAAAACCATGCATCAAAGCGAGTTTTGCAACTTACAAGTGTATCCAATACATACACACAATGTGGACATCCTGTCAGAACTGAGTGTGACTGCAGATACTTCTCATTTTCTTAATTGCATTTTCCTTTACTTGTTTTTCTGTTACAGTTTGAGTCACTGATCTTCAGCATGACCAGACATCAGGAAACGTGAAAATTAATTACATCGAAAATGAACCTTATTGTTCTAAAAATCACACTTCTAGAGATGGTTTAAAATGAGACAACAGCACCTCAAAATGCATCTATTGCCACTAAGAGCATCTAAGCAGAGGACTTGTAGAAGATGGAATGAACTTTTGGGGGTTTTTATTGCAAATATGTTTTTGTTTGTGGACTAAATGCCTCCTGGGAAGTAAAGAGTTATCTTTTGGTTATATCGGACAGTATGTTTTTGTTTAAAACTAAGAAGAGGGCTAGACAGGAATGAAAAGGTGGCTAAAGAAAATCACTAGATGCACGCTCTGCCCTCACTGCTGTAAGCACACTTGTATTTTTCCCTTTAAGACTGAAGCGAGACTGACCAAGCCAACTTGCCTCAAAGGCTTCCCCGGCCGGCTTGCCTTGTAGATTTCCAGCTGCCGAACAAAAGTCAGTTCTGCATCGTATAACACAACGTATCTTGGTTCTACTTCATGCAGAACACGAGTGAGCGCGTAGGGATCACTGCACCCCTGCAATGGATGAATAATGGTGAGTGGGTTCTTGAAAATACCATAGTAACAGTCTGAGGGTAAGTTCACATCAAAGTCTTCAGGAGCGGTCTCTTCAATACCACTTTCTTGGCTACTGCTTAATTCTTTGTTATCTTCCACCTCTAACTCCTCTCTCTTTTCCTCCTCAGCTTTCCCCAGCAGTTGGATTATAGTCCGGTCTTGCTGCTGCTTGTTTTTATTTTGTTTTGAAGAAGCCATGAGTTTGGCTTTTTTAGCTTGAGGCCCTGTGTCTGGTCTGGCACTTCCTTTGGACTTGACAGCTTTTCTGTCCTTAATCCACACTTCTCTGGCTTTCTCATCCTTTCTGAAGGTTTTGTTGTACAGTCTTGTTAAAAAAGCTTCTGCTCCAGCAATAATGCACTCCCTGAGCTGTGCACAGGCTCGGTCATCACTGGCACAAATAAGCACTTGCCCTGCAGACAAGAAACGATATCATGTTTATAATCTGTTACGCTGTACTTCTTATCCAGCTGAAAGACATCTCTTGAGCAAATTGTTTTTAATGATCCTAGAAGCATGCCTGCCAAATGCCTTTACATTTGGCTGTCACAGCTGCTCTGGATTTTCAGGGAGTTTAAATGGCCCGATGTTTTGTACCAAACAAGATTAGAGAACGTTAATTGGAGTTCAGCATTCCTTATTCTTACACCATCTAAATTAGCGAGGTTTTCCTTTGGACCATCTGAAACGAGGCAGATACAACACATATTGAAACTTACTCAGACTTCTACTTTTTTAACATGGAATAAGAGAGAACTTAATTTAGACCATTCTAATTTTCAGCCTTCATTAGATGTGTTAAAGAGTCTAAAAAAAATGCGTGTTTCTCTTGGTATTATTGACATTTGTGGGCCTTGAATAACAATTCTCCACAAGCTGACTCAGAAAAACTCCTACAACTCGAGGTGAGAGAGTCAGTTTTTATCCAGAGACAGAACACTGTGGGTGGGAAAAAAGAGCATTTTTTTTACCCTTACGATTTCCTAAAATAAAATTTGGTGAAATTTAAGATGATCAAAAGCCCTAAAATAGGAAAGATAGCAGAGTTCATTAGAAGCACAACTGCCTTTTACTCTTCACCCCATTTAGGTGCATCTCCTGGATAAGCACATTTTCAGAAGAACGTATGAGATGGAAAGGGCACAAGACACAACTCCTATTTCTTTTCTTTTAACCTGAACAGCTCTCTCAGTGCTGTGCTTTGCAGTGGTAGCTGGAAGGCTGCTGGTAACACATCAGTGCTTTGGCTACTGCTGTCCTTACCCAGCACCAAGGCTGCTCTCCATCACTGCCCCCTCACCAGCAGGCTGGGGGTGGGTAAGATCTTGGGAGAGGACAGAGCCAGGACAGCTGACCCAAACTGACCAACGGGATATTCCATATAGCGGGACATCTGCTCTGCAAGAAAAACTAAGAGAAACGAGGAAGGGGTGGGAGGCATTCATTATTACAACATTTATCTTCCAGAGCAACTGTTACGTGTACTGAAGCCCTACTTCCTGGGAAGTGGCTGGACATCGCCTGCTGATGGGGAGTAGAACATAAAACTTCTGTTTTCCTTTGCTTCTGCGTGCAGCTTTTGCTGTATTAAGCTCTCCTTATCTTGATGCACAAGATTTTTTTCCATCTTATTTTCTCCCCCTGCTGTGCTGCTGAGGAGGGGAGCAATAGAGCGGTTTGGTGGGCACCTTGCATCCAGTCAGGGTCAACCCACCACAATAACTAGCAGCATTTCTCTTTCAGAGCAAGAACTAAATAGGATTTTATGTAACTGTTTAGTTTTACATAGTTGATGTACATAAACTCCTTAAGTCCACAAATTATTAAATTTAAAACTGCATCTAATAATATTAGGGTAAAGATTTAGGCTCCTCTTAAAAGACAAGCAGAAGTAAAAACAAGCTGTTGTGTGAAAAAACGTAGAACATTATTTTCTCACCTGGACCACCAAGGTCTTCACTGTTCTTATTCTCGTTTTCAATCTCTTTCAGTACTTCTCTCAAAGCTTCCCATTTTGGGTTACTTTCTAGAACCAATTCCCTTTTCAGTTCTGAAACAAAACAGGATTGAACATAGCAGCTCTTACAGCCAAAATATCCTTCAGAACTTTAGATTACTGGTTAGATGTCAATAGCGTGATGATGGTTGTTGGCAAATACGATATTCCACAGCCTACATATGCATCTTGTTATGCTAATGGGTTTGAGAGCACTTGTACAGAAACGTTTAAAAATGGGGATAAAGTACTTTAGTGAAGCAAAAAGTTAAAACATTCACTCATTCTTCGGTTCTGAAACTCCTGAATATAATTTTTTAGTAAAAGCAACAGCAGCCTCCTACCCATTCACATAAAATTAACAAGATCATGCTAAACACCAAAGTAATTCGACAGCAATTCCATAAAAGCTTTCCCAATGATAACTAAGCAAGCTTAGAAGAACCCTTTACTTCTTCGTGACTCCGTTTTGTGTTATTTATTACATGCTTTTTGAACTAAGATTATGTCTCAACTTATCCCAGTTAACAGACTGAGATCTTGAGCTGTGTAAGACCACGTAGGGAACCATAGCACAAGCAATAACATGCAGAATGTTGGAAATCCTGTGACACTCAAAATTAGGAATCATCAATACCATTTTCTTTCTTGACATCCCTTTTTTCAGAAACTTTGCCTTTCTGATTCAATTTCTCATCCGCGGTGCGATAAACTCTAGCTCGAGCATTTACAAACATCGAAGTACTGGAGTCAAGAAACAGCCAACCTAAGGGGAAAAGAAAGCGTAGCAGTCTGACATTTGCGACATGTACATGATTCCACCCTTTCCAGTAAAAGCCCCAAATCTCTCATCTGGAATACCTTGCTATGTAATTAATAGCTTAATAGAAGAAATGTGATGCAAATCTCACACTGTGAAGTAACAGCAGTTAAGTGGGAAGATGAAAGCATTATCTGTCAATAAAAACCTACGTCCTTATGGCTGCTTATATAAAACCTAATTAGATACCTTCATATATTTGGGACTATTAATTAAAAATATCAACATTTCTCTGTTCCATGCATTAACTTCTATGGTTAGTCGGTGTTTACCTGAATTCTCACCAAAAGCTTTTTCACTTGCTCTCAGTGACTCCAGAAGATTAAGGAAAGTGACGCAGTCATACTGAGTCAGATACAGCAGCAAAGTACGTAGTATCTTCAAATCTTGGACCAAAGACTTTGTCTTAGCTCCAAGTTGATGCCAGAGGGGATCTAAATAGTGACGTATTGTCTAGAAGTATAAATTGGAAAGTTCAAATTGGGTGTCAAATATATAGCATACTAACCAAGGTAAGAATGCACTTATTTTTCCTTTACAGGGGATATAATTAGTTTCCCAAAGGTATTAAACCAAATTAAAGATGTGATGGTGAGATGCTTGCTTTGATAAGTAATAATTTCTTCAGCGTTAACACCACATAGGTGCCTTTCTGCAAAACATTCCAGCAGTTAGCAGATGTAGATCATTTAATGCTTTCAGTCCATATTTTCCTTTCCATACAATAAAAAAAATACCGGTAAAAGTAAAATTAAGAAAACCCCAAACCACCATTATTTTGCTGGTTCTGGCCTGTGTGTTTAGTATCTAGCATCCTTTACTGAGGTAAAGTAAAAAAACATTATAATGTCATCTACTTCTGCAAAATAAGATGAGTATCAAGCAGATATAAAACCTACAGAACATTAGAAACAAACCCTCCAAGTATTTAAAGCACAGGCGGCCTCACATCAAGATTAATTCACAGGTAATGAACAACCAAGTTTGACTACAATGGTTACGTTTACGATTTTACCCTACAGAAAGCACGTGTATGCCAAACACTGCAGATCTGCCAGAAACAACAACGCACAATTAGTGACATGGATAATGAGTAAAAGATACAACAGATGTATGCGTGTGCATATTATGTGTTACACACAGTACCTCTCCTAATGGAGGAAATAAAAAATACAAGCAAGAAATTCAAGAATACTTGTCTCTAAAGCACTTTGAGCTGAAACTGAAGCCCTCTTTAACACCACCACCACACTATGAATCAGGATGTCCCTACTGTAGGGACTTCGGAAGTTAAGGAAGAACAATACCAATACACCAGAACCACCAAATACACCCTACTGGCAACTGTAACATCCCCATTACAGGTAACAGTTTCTTTCCTTGTAATAATAATAAACATGTCATGGGAGAATACTCAGTTGCTGCTGGTTATTTATTTTACAAATAGTATTTTTGTTTTGAAGATCTACATCTCTTCAGTCAGACACTGCAAAACAATCAAAACGGTTACCTTGTCGAAAGATTTACCAATAGCATTCTCTAAAGACAGATCTTCTACTTCAAGAGCTGGATTATAACATTTGAGTTCTCTCAGACACGCGTTCAGAATGTCCAGGATTGACGTCTGGATGGCAAGCATTGCAGGGGTCATTGACACATGTATTTCCACCACTTCAGGTTTATGCTTCTCTAAAAATGAGTTCACTGCTATATGAAACCTAAGAGGGAAACAGCTTAGTAAGATTTACACGGATGGTTTGCTTGACCTACGACTATTCCAAAGTCTGTACAAACTACAGTTACAATTGTTTACACATAAACAAGTTAATTGCAAAATGAATCTGTTTCTACAGATGTGAAGACTGCAGTCTCATAAGCAGCCTCAGAAAACCATCCAGTCCACAATTATGACTGTAGTCATTCTAGCCCTGTGAGCCTACAGTGCTGGCAAACGATCCATGAGAACTGGGGACGCTGCCTGCTGACCTCTAAAAGTCAGTGGGCATTTCCCTTGCTGCATGCTGTGCCCCCAGGGTCTTTTCATGGTTCAGAACTCAAGGAAGCAAGTTTAGAGAGTTTCTAGTCAACCTTTCCTATCCTAGTTATGTCCATGTCTACCTCTTTGTGTTGCTGAAAGACTGTTTACAACACAGAGGTACGTAGAGATGGGGTGAGACACATTCTAGACTGGGCTACAGGCACAGCCAGGCAGAGCTCCTGCCCCAGGCAAGGGCACTGGATGGGCCAGCTGCCAAAGTGCCCCTTCCTGTGTGGCTCTGCTACTGGAAAACGTAATGCATGTCACAAACTTGGCAGTTTGGCTTCTATCAGTCATCAAGAAACGCTCTTTGTACACAACAAACACGTAAAGGAATATTTAAAGATCTGACATACAGAAAGAGACCCATGGAGCTTCATCACTGGTGGAAACAAACACCTCCATGAATCACAGAACTGAGAAACTGCACCCCTCTTACTTCATGGCTTAAATAATCTGTTTAATCAGTGAAGCTTTTCTTAAGCTATTAAGAATGTCACTTTATGCTGTGATTTCTATTGGCTGACGGGACAGCTATACCATAATGTTCAGCCCCTTAGATTTAATTTGGGTTTGTTTTCAAAAATACCTCCAGAAATTCAGCACCTTTAAGACCACTCCTGTCAAAAACTGAAGGAAACTTGTTTAGGAATACAAGAGGGAACACAGATTGGCTGTGTGACTGCATACACCTCATCTTCTTAGGAACCAATTGTAACATCCTTCCTTTTTAAAAAAAAAAATGAAAAGAAAAGGTTTAAACTTTTAAAAGCTTAACTCTCCAATGAAGTAAAGAGGTGCCTTACCTTGGCCACAGGTAAAGTTTCCTGACAAAAAGATTTCTCATAACTCTTTCCACATGGCAAAAGCCTGTGTTAAATGCAACCGCATTATCTGTAAAAGCTTTAATGAAGCCTTGCTTGTTCTTCTGGCGATAAAGTCGCAGGATAAATGCTTCCTGACAGGACTCAATGATTCTGTGTGCTTTGTATACCAAAATGCCTGGCAAAATAAAATATTTTCAGGTTACAAAAAACTAAAGTCCAATTCTGTGTAGATTTTTCCTCAAAACTCTTGACAGTTTTTTCTTAAATAAAATACAGTAAGAATTCAAATCTTCTGAAGCAATGTTTGGACAAACTTTCAAGAGTTCAAGCCAGGCGATTCCTCAGCTTCAGTGCCACAGGATGGTACTGCTGTGTGAGCCTAGGTAGAAACAATGTGCCACTGTTTACTGCACGAACCTGCAGCATCAGTTTAACTGTGCCATTAAGTACATCATTTCCGTTTGGCCAAAACCACCAGGAATAATAATTCTGTGCTGCAGTGATTATTACTTACCTTAATTTAGCTGAATTTATGAATTCATCAGATGTTAATTCACATGTGCTTCTACACCGATTTTATAAACATTTATAATGCCTAGAAACACGTTACTTTTTTGCTATGTTTTTGCTCCAGCAGAAACACTGTTACAGCTTTCTGTTGGTTTTGCCCTACAAATTCACGCACAGATAACACACAGAGCTTCCAGCAGAGCTAGGTGTTACCCAAGTTTTCAATGAAGCCGCAAGTCTACCACAGCTGCTGTCGTGATGACCTCTAGTGGCACTGCAAAAAATGTAACAACTCTATGCCATTAGAGGACAATATTTTTAAAAATCGTTACTGTATTCCTTCTTTTCATACTGACAAAGTCCAATGGTGTGTTTTCTTTCTCCCCCTCACCCTTTGGTAGGTCAGAAATGTAGAAAGGAAGGAGTCAAGGGGAAGGAGAGAAATTAAAGTAGGTTGCTGAGAAAATACGTTCACTTTTTTGACCTAGACACATAAAAATTGACAAATCTGGCACCCTTTGGATCTAGCATAAAACTGTTCAAAGATGTTTTACAGATTAAAGCTTGTCACACATTGATTAAAAGGAAAAGGATACAGCTTCTGAAGCAAAAACTTCCATTCTTCTAAGCATCCAATGTTTGGTTATGTTTAGCGATCAAAATGTTAACATTTAGATCATAATAAAGTACTTTTATATTGCTGGCTGTTAGCTAGTTATTTTAGTAGCTCTTCAGGCTGTAACAAGGTTTCCAGCTTAGACAAGAACATAAGGAGAGTGGTCAAGGGAGAAAGGGAATGGAACATGAGTGGAAAAAGAAAACTGTAACATATTCCATCTCTAACTTCCATATCACAACAAAAAAAGGTCACAAGCTATTCCCAAAATCTTTCGAATGATAGAAACAACATTACTTCATAATACTGCTGTTTAGATAGCACCCAAGGTGTGTCAGAATCACAGAATATGAGGAGCTGGAAGGGCCCTGGAAAGCTCCCCCAGTGCAACCCCTGCCAGAGCAGGATCACCAGAGCAGTCACACAGGAACATGGCCAGGGCTTTGGGTGTCTGCAGAGAAGGAGACTCCACAACCTCTCTGGGCAGCCTGGGCCATGCTCTGCCACCCTCACACTCACAAAGCTTGAACCTGCTGTGCTCCAGCTTGGGACCATTGCCCCTTGTCCTGGCATTGGACATCCCAGAGCAGAGCCTGGCTCCTTCCTCCTGACACTGCCCTTTCCAAATGGATCCCCAGGATTGAGGGCACCCCTCAGTCTCCTCTGCTCCAAGCTCAAGAGCCCCAGCTCCCTCAGCCGCTCCTCAGCAGGAGATGCTCCACTCCCTCCAGCATCTCTGTGGCTCTGCACTGGACTCCTTCAAGCAAAGGTTTGTAAGGTATTTTTTGATGGAAAAAGTAATCAAGAGTAATTGGTTAATGCAAAAAATAAGTAGTGTGCATGGCTGATAAAACAACATCTAAAATCCATTTTTATCATAGACCAATGTCCTGTAAGCTCACAGGACACCAAGTGCAATCAATTATTCTTCTCTGAAAGTCAGTCTGGATTTCATGTTTCTTCTGTCAATGGCATAGTTTAACTGCTTGTTTGTTTTCCAGACAGTTTACTGCTATCAGAAAGCCACAAAAATGAATGATCCAGTAAAATAATGTGGATGTTTTCAAATTGTATGAGTAAATAAGGCAAACAAGTTTGGACGAAAGACAACCATTAAAAAAACAACCAACAAAAAAACCCAAGCTACATATTTGCTCCTTTTACCCCAGCTGTGCAACAAAAGGAATAACGCTTCAACCTCAACACTGGTTAGTAGAACTCGTCATACAGAATTAAGCTTTATGTGTCATCAAACAGATCAGCCTTACCTTTATTTCATCTAACTCTTACCAGTAATGAGGTTTGCAGGAATTCTATCCGTAAGGAAATCTACCACAAGGATTCTACTTGTTGCAAAGATGACCCCTCCTTGTGTGTAAAATTCATATCGAGTATTATTTGTAATTTCATTGGTAACGCGTCGAGGAAGATGAACAACTCCATCTGACCTCAGCTGGTCGATAAAATACTCCTAAACCAAACACAGTAAAACCACAAAACTTCACTGTGGTAACTGATGAAACCTTAATTATACATACTCTGCTAAGTTTAAGGAGCTGTTGAAAACAAATCAAGAGCACGATGTAATAAGGTACTGCCTAAGGAAGTCAAAATTATCACTTTTTTTTTTCTTAGGTATACTTTGTTTAGTTTCAAACTCATGCAGGTGACTTAAAAATCTTTGTCTTTTCAGTAGTAGCCAGACAATACCTAAGCAAATACGAGCAACTGACACTCAAAGGAGCTTACATAGCTCTTATATTTCAGTAGCTCTTTTTCACACTGAAAAGAGCTGACTTTACTAACTTAAGAACAGAAAACTAGGAAGAAATAATCTTTTAATTCATTCATGCTATCAAAGACAACAACAGCAGGTAGCCCATATACATCAAGCTTAATCTTATAGACTACTGCTGTGGTATTTATTCCCCTGTGATCACTACCAAAAATCCTCAGAACATCAGCCTCCAGTGGGAAATCGCCTACTTTCAGGCTAGAGTAGCTTTTCCTGTCCATGTAGAGGTAAATCCGCCAACAAGTTTCACCCCTTTCTGCTACTGGCTACTACCGGGTTTCTGCTACTTACAAGTTACGTATATACGCTTGTTTTAGCTCACCACTCTTACTTCTAGGACTTCACCATGCCGCACGAGTAGAAATTCGGACCTCGGTTGGATCCCGGATGCGTACCCCTAGCGAGGCACAGCCGGGGCTTAGCGCCCGGGCCTGGGCCCGCACCCGCGCCGCCACCTGCCC